GCTGAACAGGAGAGGGAAAATCAAACGCGGAATTTTTCTGGGGAAAATGTTTGCTTACATGCTTTCTCTTACTTCTGATCTGAGAGGTCAGGTTTGAATATGCTCCTCCATAATAAAGGTGTTCCAGTAGCATCAACTATTCAGCCTCATCTTAATTACCAGAGCACTTCATTTGTATTATATTAATCCAAAATAAATCAAAAAATTCCACTAATGCGTGCCTATATCCCAATTAATTACTTCCCCCACGGTCTGCAACACCTCACTTCTCTTTGACAGCAGGGTGGGTTTTTCTTCTCTTGTATTGTGTTGTGTAACAATATCTCTGTCTCAGACAGTAGCTTTCACCCTGACTCAGCCCAAACACAAAGATCCACACATACAGAAGTACACGTATGTGCATAAGTAGCGTACAGCACAGTCCGTACTGTTTTTCTGCCCATATACATGCACTTATTCGTCAATGTGAAAAGATAAAGTCTCTGAGATGGTAAGAAAAAAGGCTGAGACACTTTATTCACAAATAAAACACAGCTATGTCTGAAGTGTTAGCTGTTCAACTTTGCACAGCAACTGTACACAACCATGCAAGTCAGGAAATGGAAAATATTATATTGTAAGTGGATACTGCAGGGGACTTAAGACATGCAGAAATTAGTCATCAAAACTGGAAGCTGGCCATTGCACAACGTCTAATGCTATTGCTTTTACCCAGTTCTGTCAGAGTTTTTAATTGCTAGAAAAGGACGTGGACTTTATATTTCACACAGATGAGAAAAAACAAGGTTGCCAGATCAAAATGTTAAATGGCCAGTGTTAATTTAACACCCCCCCCCGGTACTGACCAGATCAGTCAGTAAAGGGAGACTCAGTTAACAGAGGTCATCTAGATTTTTAATGGCACTGTAAAGCTGAGGCATCAGTAGTAGGTATGTGACCAAAGACTACAATTGAGTTTGTGGTCTGCAGCCTTAAGAAACAAGGAGAATTAGGGTGCTGACAGACAACCTTCTTTGGCCAGAGGCATAAGAAAGTATTACTCCTTTCATTACTGCCTGCATAGCAGAACTGGCAAAAGAGAACCTGTGCCAGCTGCCACAGTTCAGGCTACTGCATCTTGACTTAATTTTATTTTAATTTAATCTCCTGAAGATCCAGGAGATGTCTCAGTTTACCCAACACTGTTAAAAGGCAGAAGAGCGATACGAAATTTGGGGTAGTAATCTCTTAATTTACGCCAGGACCTGCCAACACCTGTGTGTGCACTGATTGCATCTTCATAGTCTGAAACCATTTGCAAGGATGGACTTCAAGAGTGTTGCTGACGGAAATTGTTCCAGTGAGAGATTAAGACTGGGACTGAAGCTAGAGTAGATGTAGCTCCACTCACTGAACTAACTTGATCCTTTTTTTATTACTTCACTATTCTCCTTGCTATTCTGAGCCTGTTAACTAGAAGACATACATCCTTTTAACTGTATTGCTAGAGGAAAAAAACATATAAAATGTGATTTCTTCTCCATCTCCACTCAGTCACCCTAGAACTGCCCAATGCCTGTCTTTTCTTCATGTGTTTATTTTTTGTTTGTTTTGTTTGGGGTTTTGTGTTTGGTTGTTTGGGGTTTTGTTTTTTTGTTTTGTTTTTTTTGTTGTTTTTTTTTTTAAAGACAAAGACAAAGTAACTGTATTCTTTTAGAACAAAAATGAACAGCCGTGTGGAATTTTTGCATAGTACTCTTCTTCGGCAGAAAGCCACAGAACTTTTTTTTAAATGGTTTCCAAGGATGAAAGTGACTTTGCCAAGCAAAGAAGCTTCAAAACAGGACTCAAAAACACTAATAGAAAGACAGATGGTTCTACTAAGAGCTTTGCTGCCAAAAAAAATGTTAAAAAAAAAGTGAAAAAAATGGAGTGATGTTATTGAAGCTGACTGCAAAGTTCTCTGATGACTGCAAATACTCTTGTCCCACTGCAAGTGTTAACTCTGCCTCCAGGGCTAATATAACTAAAGCACCACACACACACAAATTGTCATTGCCAAGCCCACAATGTAGCACACGTCTGCACTTGATTCCAAGTGACTGCCAAATACACGAGCAAAACACCACACTGAAAAATTCCCATTTAGGAAAACATTTACCAGGAAAATGCCCTTTCTTCTTAAATCTGCCTGCTGTGTTTCATTTTTTTCACATTGCTGCTCCTCTTTCTCTCTCCAAGGGGCCTTATACCCACTAATTTCAAATGACACAACCTCGGTTGCGTTAAGGAGGTAAGAACTATAGAGTGATGAGGACGGTTTGCATGGATACAGAAATAACGCAGTCAAAACAATGTGATTTTCATTCCAGGATGGAATGTATGTAGCACCACTCAAACAGCTACACTTCATCTTCTCCCAAATACAAATAAGTGCAAACACTAGTTTATTTTAATCTGATTACCTGACACAATACAATACAAATTACGGACTTTTCGTTTTTATGCCTCATTTAACTACTACATCTTAACTTTTGTTGTGTTTATTATTATTACCCAGAATTGCTAGGATACAACTGTTTCAAGTGGCACAGAACACAGGCCCTCCTTCTGAGCTTTACACGAAGGGTATTTTCCTCTTTCCTTCTTTTTTTAAAGCTATTATTACGCCAGTTACATCTCTCACAAATGTTTTTTGTTTTATAGCTTACATACTTTCCAACGTTTTCTTGACGGTAACTTTTGGATAACACATTTCTAATCTGAGCGTAATGGACTGCAAATCAGAGTTACTTTTCAGGCCTTTCAATTTGTTCAGCTAACAGACATATATATGTTCATAAAAAGAAACACATCTTTAACAATCTAAAACCGCATATAGCTGTCCAGATACTCCACTTCCCAGTCTCTCTACGTGATTACCTCTTCTTAGTTGTAATTTCTTAAAGGCAAAGACTGTAGTTTAAATCCTCACAAAATTCCCAATGGATTTAATGAGTTACAATTTCACCTTGTAATTTCTTATCTACTTTATGACATGAGTCTGGATGATACAGATACAACCTTCCAAAGGCCCATTTTTTCACGACACATACTATTGCCACAATGTCAACTAATTACACAGTTTCCTGATCTTTCTTTTCATCTGAATGCCGTCACCACGTATCAGATGAACCAGAAGTGCTCTTGAACTGCACGACAAATCGTAGAGACACTGATATAAACACTGGACATATATAAAGTAAGAAGGAAACGAACGGAATGTCATGAGAGCCGTAATATTCTGTACAACCAATTCACTAGTCATGGAATTCACACTTTCATTCACACATGTCTGACAAATAATTTGGGGCAAGAAGAAAGCCCATGTTGCAATGAAAGACATAAACCATATCCCTTGACATTCAGTTAATGAGAAATACTCTTCTTAAGGAAGTGGATACACAAGAGTTCAAGTGGGCCAAGAAAGCAAAGGTTCTCTAATTCAAGTCATCTTCAGTAACGGCAAAGTGTTTTAGGAGCAGAAGAAATTGTCACCAAGTTTCACTGAGAGCCCAAATCAAATTAAGGCATGCTTCATACTTGTCACTGAAAATCCAAAAAGGAGACTAGCCCTAAAGAACTTATCAATGAAAAAAAAAACCAGTATGAGCACGTGACAAGCAACTAATATTTCATCTACTGTCCAAGTGGGACACTGAGACATCTAGAGTTGCTCGTAGAGATTTTTGATTGTGGGAAGTACCTCACTGTATCTTTATTTGTTTCAGTGCCTTTGAAAAATCTGCCCTTAAATGACTTATCCTTATCAAAAGAAATTTGTTAGTAAACTTGGAACAGATTCAAGTTGTTGAAGCCTGGGCCAGCATCTTTGCAAATCTGTGCATGTCTTTTACAACTTGACCATAACAAATACGACCACACAAAGATGTGCATTCAGTGTAGCTACAGCTAGATTCTCATAATTCCCAGCTTCATTATAATTGTAGTATTTCTGCCTAAATTTTGGTCTCCTACCTACTTTTAGGAGCACACTACGGTTACCACAGCTACCTAAGCACTAAGCAGTATGTTTTTAACAGTTACCCCTACTGTTTGTTACTAGCTCCTGCTGTGACTTATATAAATTTAGATTGCAAACACTTGACAAATAGAGTTCTACTTTATTTTCTGTAAAACGTCACGTGTGCTTTGGGTCACTACATAAACAGCTACAAAGATAAAACAGTTTGAGAAAACATTAAGGTTGCAAAATCAGACATTCAAGGCATGGGAAATGCCAGAATCAGGGTAGCATGCATGGCCTTATTTTGGTCCTTTGTGCCCATGCATCCTAACATGGTCTTCAATTAAAAGTTCACAATTTTCCCCCTCAGATGACTCTTGCTTAATCTAGTAGGTTCCTAATATTTCTTAAGTAACATAAACTCATACTTTCAACAAATATAAGCCCCTAACATAGCAGCTGCTGCTGCTATGATGAAATAAAATTTATTTTATCTTCCACCTATTTAATTTCTGCAGTTGCTCATTACATGTTTATTAGCATCAACTTCTGTGTAAGTTTTCCTCTCTCCAATGTAAATATTCCAATGCATTTCCTGGCATCCATATATAACACTATTCACTCAGGGGCGAATACTGATCTTCCACCCAACTCTTTTTCTTCAGAAGCAATTCCATGCATTTTGGTGAGACTGGTGACAGAGTAACGAATTACTCAGTGTGAATAAGGACGGCTGCTAAAAGCAACACTCCCTTCTCTACAAACTGACAAAACTGAGCGGCGCTTTACTCTTGAGCTGTTTAGAAGATGCCCTTCAAGAGCTGTGTGAGCATCTTTGCTGAAATGATCTCTTACATGGCTTCTTCATGTAGAAGTGTGGCTAATTTTTATTTTCACTTGAGCTATTCTCAGCCACCCCAAGGAAGTTCAGATTTTACATTCCTAGAACAGTGGATGTGCATGAGTGACTTCTTTTACTTTAAACTCT